TTGTTATATTGTATGGCTTAGAGAATAGTAGCATAAAAAAAGTCTGTATGTGTTCAGTACAGATGTAACTATTAAATTTTTTCTATGAATATTTTAAATCCACAGATTGTATCCGTGAATACAAAGGCCAACTGTACTTACGTCCTGTAGCCTTTTAATGTACTTTATATTAGCTGAGTTGGTCTTCATCAATACCACCTTAATGTATGACAGAATGAGATTAGCAGGTTAGCTAGCTTTAACTATGACACAGTAAGAAGGAAAGACCCTAGGATAGTGCCCTGGTCAGCCATTAGCTGAGCTGTTTGAATTCTGGGAAATACACCTAAAAGGAGAATTTGGGCCCACCAAATAAAAGTCAATCCCACATGAGCTCCCCATTTGAGATCAGTGACAAAAAACACTGTGAGAGATATACTGGCATTCTTCAATGAAAGAGTGAAGAAGGATTCTTACCAAGTCCTTTAGTTAGTGAGACCATCTCAGTGCAGAATGACGATAAAATTCATAATTTGCTCAGGGACAGCTCTCATTGCTAAGTGATAATAACACTTTCTGAGCTGCCATTTGTCAATATCACAGGCTTTTCTAATTTAGCTAAGCAATAAAGAGTTTCCTTCTCAAGAAAGGTAGAATTCTCCTGAGACCTAGATTATAACTTCATCTGGCTGATTCATCCATTCTTTCCTTTCTTTTTAAAAAATTTTTGGCCAAGGTTGGGTTTGAACCCACTACCTCTAGCATATGGAGCCGGCGCCCTACCCCTTTGAGCCACAGGCGCTGCCCAGACTCATCCATTCTTATAGATACCAGAGCAAGCCAATTCCAACTGCCCTTATCCTCTGGGTCTGAAAAAGTGGAAGAGACCAGTAGAAACCAGAATCAGCTATCCTTGGTTGATGGCTATAACTAAAACAGATCTCAGCTTTCCAAAGAGGCTAAGCATTCTAGGGTTGACCATGTTATTTTATTTATTTTATTATTTTTTTTTAAGACAGTCTCACTATGTTGCCCTCAGTAGAGTGCCATGGCGTCACAGCTCAGAGCAACCTCCAACTCTTGGGCTTAAGCAATTTTCTTGCCTCAGCCTTCCAAGTAGATGAGACTACAGGCACCTGCTACAATGCCCAGCTATTTTCTGTTGCAGTTGTCATTGTTTGGTTGGCCGGGGCTGAGTTCTAACCCGCCAGCCTCAGTGTATGTGGCTGACGCCATAAACACTGTGCTACGGGTACTGAGCCCATGTTATTATTTGAAGATCTCCCCTGTACAGAGCAAATATTAAATATCAAAAGAGGTTGACATCTTTGTAATTAGAAAAGTACTCATTCTTCTCAATAGTGCCCAATTTTAATTTTGTATTTTAAACACCCCTCAATGAAAAAGATGACTTGCTTTTTACCTCCATTTAAGAAATGTCAGATCTGCTTAATTCTTCTACTTACTATAACACTTTCATTCACCTTAATCTGGAGAACCTTTCAGTGTCAGCATCTTCTATGTATCAGATACTCTTCTAGATACTGTCAATATAAAGGTAAATAGAATACATTAGCCCAGAGGAAAGTACCAGCTAGATGAGGTGCAGCTCTTCATGGCACTGACTTCAGTGCAGTGAATGAATGACTTCAGCAGGCAAGGTAAGTTCTTTCAAGCTGAATGTCAGTGATGTTCATTACTAAGTGAGAACACAATTAGAAACACTTGCTACTGATAGTGTGAACATGTTCTTCTGCTGTACAATGTCCTTTTAGCATATTTGAATTTCCCAAGGGGGGGAAAAAGCCTCTTCAAAGGCTTTAAATCTTTGCTGCATCTGGATAACCTTCAGCAAATACACTGACTTTATTTTCTTTAGCATTTATACCGTCTTCAAACAAAATCTATCAATATTTGCATGCACTCAATGCTGAAAAGTTAAAAACCCAGAAAAGGGGCTCGTTCAGAAAAAGAAAAGTCATAGTTCAGAAAATTTATGTCCCCTTCTCTCTCAGGTTAGGCTGAACCTTGAAAATGAGCATCTTCAATCAATTAATGAAAGATTTACATTTTGGTGCTATTCTGTGACTGAGGTGGGCCAGCAAGGGAAGGAGTAATGTCCTTTGGTCCAGTTGTGGAATTCTTTCTGAAATGATAGTACTGTGAGATATAGAGTGTACAACAAATGCTTCAGTCTTTAATTAGGATTCAGAATGCCCAGTAAACTTTATTTGGCAACGGGATAGATTAGTTTAAGTGTGTTGGTACCCCAAATGGTTTCATGATAGCCAAGAAAAAGGACTACATGTGCATTTCTTTTTCTGAACCACTACTAAACCTCTAAAATATCATACAAAGATTTATATATAATCAGTGGCTGTGGAAAAGCAAATATTAAACATAAATAATTCAATAAAGATTTCTCTGTGAAGAATAAGCCATGAGTGACTGGAGCAGGAGAGGAAAGATAGGAGGAATGCTTTCTGACTCAGTTGTGTATAAATCGTTAAGTCATATACAAAATTTTCTCTGTGCCCAGATTATGTAATTTATTGGGAGTGTGCATGCTTCTCTGTTCAGCAACACTGATAATGACACTAATAGTTTAATTACAACTTGCTGCTCAAGGAGATAAACAAGGCTGTTTGCTTTTTCAACTAGGGGTTACAATTACTTTTAAACACCAGGGAAAGGCACATCTGCGAGTAGATCTGACTTTGTTAGGAAAGCAACCAGAAAACCAGCTGGAAAACAAACAAAGCTCCAGGAGTGAGCAGTCGGTGCAAAATTAGAGCAAAACTGCCTGATTGGAGCAGTGGAGCAGGAGGTGTGAGGCATAGTAAACAGG